ATCTTTTTTAAACGTTGGAACCTCATTTAATTTTATGTCTTATAGAGTTTATAATGAGTTAAAGATTATATAAGTGCAATAATTCATCTGTAAACCTAAAAATGTACAGTCAATTTTGAAAGAGATGTACCCTAGCTCAGAAAAATGTTATTGAATAGGTTAATGCTGCTGTAATGAAACGCTTCTAGTGTGGTGCATACCCCTCCCCTGATTGGTCTTAGAACTGGCTAGTAGAAAGGCTACAAGCTGAGTAAAATACCTGAGCTTTGTTGAGTGACCTGCCAGCAGTCAGAGACAAGGACTTCTTTGAGGGTGCTGCCTGTGTCTTTAGGGAATGAAGGGAAAGAAAATCAGTGGAGTTAATTTGCCTGGGCCTCTTAAATCTCCTTTTTGAGAAAGCTTGCTTAAATAGTGACCATGTCCTCAATAGGAGTAAAACCCCATGTTCGGGGTGCAGTCTTAGAAAGGGTATTACAATGGCTGTGACAAATGGAGTACACTGTGTTGTATGTTTTAAGTTCATGGGGGCATATTCTTTTCACTCCTTGACTTTTACCAGCTACTGTAGTCAGTGGCTTCATTGGATAGTTATAAATGTAAAAATGAGTCTCCAGTTTCAGCTTATAGCCCTTATTTTGTTACAACTTACATTCACTATTTTAAAGTTTAAAAAAAAAATACGTATTTTCTTTTTGTTTGTTTTACAGATTTGTAAGAGTCCTGGAGCTCCAAGCCATGATTAACCTGATGGTTCCTGATTTAACTGAGGAAAAAAAATGCATCAAGTGCCAATTAAACAGTGTGTCTATATATATTTAAACCCTTTTCTCTGTATATACACATTTACATGAGAAGACAGGCTTCTGCATTTTTGGAAATTTTACAACCAATGAAAATTAATTTACGACTCAGATGGAACAACTTCACACTGCTGGGCTCAGGAGCCCAGGGAGAACAGCCTATCACTAATGGTTGGTTTTCCATATGGTGTTCGTGGGAAAAAAAAGTTTGCGAAAAGAGGAAGAAGAAATTGCACAGATTAACCCTCAAGAATCTCTCTCTAGTTGCGAGACGGAACTAACTGAGAAGGCGACCAAGAGGCAGTGTGAATTTAAATAGTGTCCACAGGCTCACACAGTGTTGTTTGCATGTAGTTTTATTGGTTTTGGTGATTTGGACAAAGTTTAAAATTCTGGACTGAAGTTCAGGATCTTTTACTGTGGTTGTAGCTAGAGGACAACAGCTTCAGGTGTGATGGGACAAGTCTGAAAATGAACTGATTTCTTTGCGTCTTTTAGTTAATTATATTTGAAGAATCTTAATTTATTTTTTCCCTTTTTCTTTCCTGCATCTTTAGGATAATATTTTAGAGTATCAATTGGAACCGATAATTGCAAAATAAATATCCTGGAAAATCCAAAGATAGCTCATTTTTTTCTTGTACTAAAGTGTGGAAGCATTAAGAGGCCTTGACCTTGAACAAGAAGGTGCTGTCAGCAAGGCCTAGGACTGCTCTAGGGAGGTGGTACAATGTGGGCGACTCTGATATGATACATGCCTAGGTGTGTCGTTTGAGGGATCGGAGAACTCCATGTGAGAGGAAGATTATTCAATGGAAGTAATTCTGAGACTACTGGTTTTTCATTAAGATAGAAAGACACATGATCTTCAGGGGCAGCACAAGTAGAGCAGTAACTGGGAGGTGGAAACGGATGGAGTCCAGGGAAAGAGCAGATCCTGCAGCCTGTCTCTGTCAGCAAGACGAGTTAGGACTCATTCATCCAAGGAAAAGACTTGGTTCACGTTAATAGCTCTAGCCTCTGCCTCTGCTGGGGGAAGGGGATTTGCTCTAGCCTCTATGGCACAGAGGAGTGCTCCTGCCAGCACAAGATCATTGTAGGGAGCCCCGTGTTCCTAGGGACACAGGGCTCAGCTTTGAGACAGGAAGTTTCTGGTTCTGAACAGTGGGAGAAAGAGTGTTTTTCTTCCTGAAATCTGGACTGCTGCCTGTACAAACTCGTCTTTTTTGCACGTTTGTGTGCCTTTCCCCCCCTTTATGCAATCCTTTCAGCTTTAGCAACAGAAATTTATCTAGTTCAGAAAGCATGCTGGAGGGCGGCGTCAGAAGGAGCATGATCCTGTGAGCTCTGACTCTGTACTTGAACTTCTTGAGTAGAAAATTGCAGCTAGAGGGATTCTTAAAGCCTTAAGTTACTTGAAATCTGCGTGTTTGCAGCCCCTTGTGTCTGGAATCACACTACACAAAACTGGAATCTCAGGCTGAAGGAGAATAAACAAGAAAGGAGTAAGAGAACCATTTCTCCATCACCACTTGTGAATCCTTCCTCCACAGGATTGGCATGCTCTTCCCTGAGGACGTGAAGAAATGGACCCCACGTTCTTTAGGCGCTACCTTTCTTAGCAGACTGCCATCATCTTTTATAGAGGAATTTTTTCACTATGCATTTGGTGGATCTTTGTAAAGTACTGACTTACTTAGCTTCAGCTCAGTTATAATTAAAGGAGAGAAGAAACAAATAGTGTCACAAGCCAGTCACAGAAATAAAGTAAACCAATGACAAAACTTGGTTTAAAATTTTCAGTACTTTTAAAGTAAAATAATTGAGTGAAATAAAAAGTATGTACGCGGCAGTGGAGCATGGGCCTGTGCTTTGCAGTGACTCCAACATCCTCTGCCTGTCCTGGAAGGGGCGCGTCCCCAAGAGCGAGAAGGAGAAGCCTGTGTGCAGAAGGCGGTACTATGAGGAAGGATGGCTTGCCACAGGCAATGGACGGGGTGTGGTGGGGGTGACTTTCACCTCTAGCCACTGTCGCAGAGACAGGAGTACTCCACAGAGGATAAACTTCAACCTTCGGGGTCACAACAGTGAGGTGAGCTGTGGTTTCATTTTTCTTTTAGTCTGGTCACTTCTAATGGTCTTTTTGAGCCCCCTTCTTGCCCCCAAACTTTGCTTCAGTTTCTCAGACTTGGTGGTATGAGACTTGAGATTATGAATTCTGTCTCTTGTGCACAAAAATGACACTAAGGCATAGTTCATAGTACCCTGTTGTTCCATAACTGAGTCATTTGCCCCCTACAACCCTGCTTTCCTCTCCATGTCTGAGTTGCTGCTGCCTTTAGAAAGGTGCAGCCGTTTAGTGATGGGTAAGCCAAGGGCTTTCTGTATAGGGTAGGAAGGTTGGGCTGGATGATCCTAACTAGCATCTCAGGTTCCTGGTCTCTACATCATAGAATTCACACCTTCCCCAAGACCCTCAGTGTAAAAGCCAGTCGTGCTGCCTTTACCTGTTTAATCGTCTCCCACATTTCTGTGGTGGTGGCTTAACACCTGGCCTGTATTTTCATATAGTTGGATGTGAAAGAAGTCATTAATTTGATAAGACCCATGGTTTTGTTTCACATGGTATAAGGTCTATTCGTGTGTGTGCTCTGTATTTATGCATACAAGTTTCTCTCGTTTTCTAAAACCCAAAAGTGGCATTACATGTGAAGTTTATTCAGTTAACATTAGTTGAGGAATGCCTATACTGTGTTTTAAAAGGAGACCATGGTTGATAGTTCATTGCAAATGCATATTTGGACAGTACCTCGATAATGTGTTTCATTGCTCATTAGCTAGCTTGGGTAATTTCTTATGAGGAATTGTGGCTATATCAGGTATCCTAAAATGCCATTAGGTGGGTGTGGAAGGGTATTGTAAAAGGGCAGGAATGTTTTTGAGGTATATATCTTAATCCATTCAGGCTGCTGTAATTATGCGCAATGTAAATTATCTTCTCAGAGTTTTGGAGGTAGAAGTCTGAAATCAGAGCCACCAGCATGACAGGATTCTGCAGGTGTATGCATGTGTGCGTGTATAGGAGCTTGGAGGGGGCACCAACATTTGTACTATAGTGATGTAGCATATCGTCTCACATGCACGCTCCAATAGAGTCCATGACAGAGCATTCCAGGACCTGTTACAGTTACTGCTCCTTCTTAGACTTTACATTTATCCTTGTCCATTCCTGATACTTTTAATAAAACATCTTATGCCAGGTAGTTTATAAACAACAGAAATTTATTGTTTATATTATGAAGACTGAGAAGTCCCAGATCAAGGCCCTCGCACATTCACTGCATGTCTGGTAAGGGGTCCATCTCTGCTTCATAAATAGTCCCTTGGTGCAGTGTTCATCGGATCTTTATGGAGGCACTAATGTCCTTCATGAGGGCATACACCTAGTGAAAGGTAACTGTACTCTTCATTACAGACTCTTCTGTCCTCTTTTACTCAGTATATGGAGGATTTACCCCTGTTGTGCATACTGTTAGATTGTTCTTTTTAATTGATGTTGGTTTTCCATTGAAGTGAGGTATACAACCATTTTCCTGTTGTTGAACATTTGAATTGCATCCAGTGTTTATCTGTTGTAACCAAAACTGTGAACACTGGTGTGCAGTGTGTATCTTTTTGTAGACCTGTACACTCAGAAAGTGGAGTACCTGAGTCATAGTGTTGGGGTATATTTAAGTTTGTTAGAAATTGCCAAGTAGTTTTTCAAAGTGGTTATACCATTTTATACCCCACCATCCATGTATACAAAGTTTCAGTAGTGAAGCCAGGGTTTATTTTGAGGTTCTTTTTCTCAGCCAAGTTTAATTTACTAAGAATTTTCCCTAGAGTTTGAGCTTTTCTTATTAAAAACAAAAGTGCAAGGAGTTTTATATGTATGTGTGTGTATATGTGTGTGTGTGTGTGTGTGTGTGTGTGTGTATGTAATAGTGGGAATATATACTCACAAATACACATTTTTATAATTCGATTTGGTTACTGTTTAAAAGATATTTTTCTTTTTTAAAAAATACTTTATTTTTTTTAATGTATATGAGCATATTACGTACATGTATGTAAGTGCATCTGTGTCATGCAATATCTGTGGAGGACAGAAGAGGGCGTCAGATCCCTTAGAACTGGAGTTACGGACAGTTGTTAGCTGCCATGTGGGTGCTGGGAATCAGACCCGGGGCTGGTGCTCTTAACCTCTGAACCACCTCTCCAGCTCCTTAAAAGATACTTTTCTATTGATGTATAGTAAATGAACATGAATTTGTTGGCTCAAAGCATCACTTATTTCAGGTTTCTCAGTGTTACAGTTCTGAAGTTACTGCTGCTGTGTGCCTAGGCCACTGTTAAAGATCTCTTGACGTCTGGGAAACATGGTACGCCCATGTAGGTTGTGGGAGTTGTAGGACTGAGGTTTTCAGGCACAAAGGGCCACTCACTGGACTTGTCCTGGTGACTTCTCCACAACATGCAGTCTTTTTCACTGTTTCTGGAGAAGGGTCCCCTCGGTTGGCCATGCCCACCTCTATTCCGGGGTTATACACACTAGGAGGGTGGGTGAGTTTAGAATTCTGCCTACCACAAAAGGAGATTGTAGTTCATAGGCAGTGGCCTGTTGCACTATTGAAACTATTTTGAGTAGTTTTTTCCCCCACTGCATTTTACTCTTACTTAACTTCTTTTTTTCATACTGGAATGTGTCCCATTTATGAGGGCCTCCTGAGTAAAGAGGCTTGGTTTCCTACCATGTGGTACTGGTCATGCAAAATCAGGGAAGTCTCAAGCACAGTCATCCTACTGCTCAGTGCCAAATTTGGCTTCAGAACCTTCCAACATAATGACTGGACATGGTTCCCAGAAGACTCGTGGTAGATGGCGTGCGGGCTCCTAGTTACTGAACATCTCGCCTAAATTCATACAGTTTGCATAGAGGAGCTGGAGTGTGAATCCAGGGTTCCCCTAGTCTCCTTCATCTGTCTTTATTCTCTTTAAACTTGTGTTAAATGCAAGTTTCCAGTCCCCTCCTCTCAGTTGTGAAATCTAAGGGCTCTGAAAATGGAAATGTTTTTGTTATTTTAATGGTAAGAGTTGACCTGATATGAAGCTCTGTATTATCATCCTATCACCTCAGCTGCAGAAATTTTGTTTTATTATGAGTTCTACCCTGACCTGCTGGGGGGCGTTTTTTGTTGGATAATTGGTGGTGTTTGCTTTTCTAAAATTGTGAAACACTTGAATTTAAAATCTTACCTGTCTGCAAGGATTTTGGATTAGAGATTGTGAACCTGTGTCTTCATTTAAGAGAACCATGAAAAGGACCTTTGTTTCATTCTTTTTTTCCATTTCCAGGAGAGTGGCGTAGGTCTTCTCTGTCACACTGTCCACTTGCCTTCTTTCACTCCCAAAACAGGCACAAGAGTTCTCGTCTCCAGCTGCCATGCCATAAGAACACCGCTAAAAGAACTGTTGCAAGGTTTTGATTGTATTTTTGATTGTATAGTCAGACTTCAGGCAACGTAAATACTGATTTTCACTACTGAATTAAAAAGAAAAGTACAGTTGAATGGAGATTGTGCTACTCATAGCTAGTATGTACAGATCTGTATTGTGCAGTATTTAACAAATGTTTCTTAGTTTTCTTATAGTTATCAAGTAGACAAATTGAATCTTCTATGAAATATTTGTGTCTGGCTTTCTAGTTTCCCATTCTCATACCTGTGTGTCCTATTGTTAGAAACTTGCAGGGAATGTCAGCAGATGTATTGCCTGGAGTGAGATCTAAAGTCGAGTAATTCTCATCTTTTTTCCCCTTTTAGATCAATTTTTAAAATTTTATGTGTATATGTATGTGCCTGAGTGTATGTGTGTATACCATGTATGTATGGATGCCCTCAGAGGCCAGAATAGGGTATGGAATCCCCTGCAGCTGGAGTTACAGGTTTTTCTGAGATGTCCAGTGTAGGTGGTAGCAACCAAACCTGGCAGCAAGTGCTCTTAACCTCTGAGCCATCTCCTCAGCACCATCTTTTAAATTTTTTAAAATTAATTAATTAATTAAATTATTTTTAGGCAAGGATTCACTCAATAGTACAGGCAGACTTGCAATTTGATATATTGCCCAAGCTGGCCTTGAATTTGTGATCCTCTACCTCTGTCTCCTGAGTGCTGGGATTACAGATAATCTTGTAGCAGACAGTTCTAAATCTGAAATAGCTATTAAAAAAGAACTACTACTGGCTGTGCATGGCGGCACACGCCTTTAATCTCAGTGTTCAGGAGGCCAAGGCAGGCAGATCTCTCTGAGTTTGAGGGCAGCCTGTGTCATAGTGAATCCAGGACAGCTGGGGCTACAGGGAGACCCTGTCTCAAAAAGACAAAAAAAAAAAAGAACCACTACTACAAGACAAATAACAGATCAAAGCAACTTTTCAAACAAAATTTGTGGGGCATTTTGCTAGAAAAAAGTTCGTTTGTCAGTATTATTCCTAGAACTTCTTGATAGCGGCGTTCCAGAGAGACATGTGCTAAGCTGCTGAGCTCTAAGGGACCCTTGTCATGGCAGGCTGAACATGGTATTTTCTTGAAATTATTTGACCCTTTAATGTGAATTCAGTACTAATCTAGGCATTCAATAAAGGCAATTTGTTTTTTCTGTCAAGTCGTCTTCCCTAGTGTGTGTATATCCTGCAAAATGATCATTATATTCCAGGATGAAGGTTAGTTCAGAAAATAATTACTTGGATATGTTTTATAGTTGTTCTAGGAAAAAGTTTCTAACATAAGAATGATGTCATCCAAATTAGGTAAGGTTAGTTAGTACTGATTTCATTTAATGGAATTTATTTTTATTTTTATATGTATGAGTGTATTGCCTGCATGTATGTGAGTGCACCCATGTCATGCAGTGCTGTGGATGTCAGTAGAGGGCTTCGGATTCCCCTGGAACTGGAGTTAAGGACGGCTCGTAGCTGCCGTATGGGTGCTGGGAATCGAACCTGGGTCCTCTGCAAGAGCAGTCAGTGCTCTTAACTGCTGAGCCATCTC